AAAAAACTTTTCCTCACTGGATATTTGTGTGCTCTGTGCCTGAACAGGTCATTCCAGTGGTGGCTCGGATGATCTATGAGATGTTTTCTGGTGATTTCACACGGTCCTTTGACAGTGGCAGTGTTCGCCTGCAGATCTCGACTCCAGATATCAAAGATAACATCGTCACTCAACTCAAGCAGCTGTACCGCATCCTCCAAACCCAGGAGAGCTGGCAGCCCATGCAGCCCGCTCCCAGCATGCAGCTGCCCCCTGCCCTACCTGCTCAGTAATCACGAATGCCATCTTCCTCTTTCCTCCTTTACTCCTTCTTTTTCTTTTTTTTTTACAATATTGTACATATTGATATTTTTTATTTTTCAGATTTAACCAGCTTTTAACTCTTTCCTCTTACGTTGTTAGAAGTTTGTGACTATCCAAATGTGCCTAGCTTTTTCAAAGTTGATTTAATTTATGGAAAATCACCTGTCAGAATTTTTTTTTCCTTTTATACCTTTTAATGGTAGTATGATGCAGTAGCAGAGATTTGATCTGGGAGTTTGGACATCAGGGTTCTAGCTGCAGCTTTGCTTCTCGTGTGACCTTGTGTACAGGTCATTTAATTTGTGGGCCTCAAATTTATCAATTGTAAATAAAGGATAGAATCATGCCCACGGTTACATCCAGCTTTTAAACTCTGGCTAGAATACTTCATTATATTTGTACAGGCAAAACTGCCCAGAACAAGATCTTTCTGAATTGTTCTTATACCACATTTTTTTTTCTTGCTTTCTTCAAAGTTCCCTCAAGCACTGATTTGTCCAAGATTGAGCTCTGTTTGACTTGTTCTGCTAGTATAGTACACTGGCTCCATGACGGGACAAGTAAGAGGGAGAGGAGCTGACTGGTTGCTTAGGAACCAAGCTTTATATCTAAATAGAAATGGGAGCCAAAGTCTGAAAGTCATCTGACCTAAGGAATAAAAACTCATAAATCAAGCCTTTAAAGGGAAGCTGGTGACATAAAAAGCTTAAGAGATTCTGTGAAAGAATGGATTGTTAGGTATATACCTTGTCATTGTTCACCTTGTATATGACAGATGAACCCATGACTCAGTGGGATACAGGATCTCTTTTTCTTGTTTCCTTTTCTGAGGGTCACTTAGGAGGGAGCTGGGCATCTAGAATATTCTGAATATACAAACCAAAAAGGACAGTTCTTGTTTGTAGAGTTTTTTGGAGGGGTTGGGTAGGATGGGGACTGTTGACCTAGGGTCTTGCTCTGTAACTCAGGCTCCCCACAAACCTGAGATCCTCCTGCCTGTGCTTACACATAGGTACTCCAGTGCTTAGCTGCTTGGAGGGTTTTTTGTTGTTGTTTTTTGTTTTTTGCTGGTCCTACAGCTTGAACTCAGGCCCTGGGCTCTGTCCCTGAGCTTCTGTGTGCTTAAGGCTAGAGTTATATCACTTGAGTCACAGCACCACTTCCAGGATTTTTTTTTTTTTTTTTCAGTTTATGTGGTATTAAGGAATTGAACCCAGGGCTTCATGAATAGTAGGCAGGCACTCAACCACTAAGCCATATTCCTATCCCTGCTTGGAGTCTTCCTCTCACTTGCATCTTTGTAGTAGAGGTAAAAAAGTATTGGGTGTGATAAGTAAAAGTAGAATGAAGAAGGGTTGGGCAGTGCTCTTCTGGAAAAAGCTCATTTGGCACAAACCTGCCCATCTCCTTTGCTAGAGGAGTTATTTGGGTGTGAACTATGTAGGTAAAAGTGGGGTAGAACACTAACACTAAAACTGCCACAAACCAGTCTTACATCTAGTTATGAGTGCTCCGCCCTTGGTCTTTCTCTTTCTCTTTAAAATGAAATTATACATAATTTAAGCTCCCAGACCTAAGTGGAAAATTAAACCTCTGGCTGCAGCCCCAATTCTCTTGAACACAGATGTGTGTTTGTGACAAGTCATAATAAGGAAAACCATATTTTACAGAAACCAACTCCTGCTTTTCAAATAATTGCCAGTTGAGCTAGGTTTACTTAAAAACCTAAAAGATCAGCTTAGTCAAAGGGGACAGTGAGACTTATTTTAAACTTTGATTTAAGGGTCTTTATGAGATCTAGTCGAACCTGCTCTTTTTTTTTTTGGGGTCTGGTCGTGGGGCCTGAACTCTGGGCCTAGGCCCTGTCCCTCAGCTCTTCAGCTCAAGGCTAGCGCTCTACCACTTGAGCCACAGCGCCACTTCTGGCTTTTTTCTTTTTGCTTATGTGGTGCTGAGGAATCAAACCCAGGGCCTCCTGCATGCAAGGCAAGCGCTCTACCACTGAACCACCTTCCCAGCTCCTAGAACCTGTTCTTCAACTTTGGGTTCAAGTCAAGTGTTTGGCCTTAAGAAAAATTGGGATTTTAGAGACCAAGAATTATCATACAAGGCAGAGAAATTTCAGTTTTCATTTGTTTTTTTTTTTTTTTTTTAATGAAGAGAGGAATTGGCTCTTGATATTTGGTTTTTCCAGCTGTGCATGCCGTGAAAGTGAGAGAGGACAACTGTTGTTTATGGCTGATTCCATTCCTTCTGTGAAATAACAGGGCTGTCCATCTAAGTGGGCAAGGGCAGTTAGATATTACAAGCAATGGTAAAGTATGTTGAAAAGTGTTCTAAAGTGCTAAGAAGGATCAGGCTTTTAGTATTGGAATTTAAAATTTACAAATGTGCCAGATGAATTTTTTTTTTTTTTTTTTTTGGGTCCAGTCGTGGGGCCTGAACTCTGGGCCTGGGTGCTGTCCCTCAGCTCTTCAACTCAAGCCTAGAGCTCTACCACTTGAGCCACAGCACCACTTCTGGCTTTTTTCTTTTTGCTTATGTGGTGCTGAGGAATTGAACCCAGGGCCTCATGCATGCAAGGCAAGCGCTCTACCACTGAGCCACTTTTTTTTTTTTTTTTTTTTTTTTTTGTGCCAGTCCTGGGGCTTAAACTCAGGGCCTGGGCGTTGTCCTTGAACTTTTTTTTTTTTTTTTTTTTACTAGCTCTCTTGTCAGTTGAGCTACAACTCTACCTGTAGCTTTTTGGTGGTTAACTATAGGTAAGTCTCATGGACTTTCCTGCTTGGGCTGGCTTGGAACTGGGATCCTCAGCTCTCAGCCTCCTGAGTAGCTAGGACTGTAAGTGTACTGGACCCTGCCTGGTTTTATGTGCTTTTAACTAGGTAGCCCACTACTCTTATTTTAAATCTTTTTCAGAATGCTATCAAAGTACATGCGAGAATTTCCTGATGACCTCTAGCACTTTCTTTGGTTTTGATAATCACAAATCCTCCATTCTTGGGCACTAAGTCTTCTGTCTTCTTTGGGTGGCTATACCACCCACTCACTAGGTGTCTTCTACTCCCTTAAGACTGGAGAGTTCGATTATCACTAGCACTGGCTTTTCTTCACTGCGCAACCCATCATGCTAGATTAATTCAAAGTTAAAAAGAAACCAGTATAGGTAAAGTGGGAGACAATGTTGTATCTGGGTGGGGTCCCTTCTTCATATAATTAATTCCCTGATATATGTTCCCATAGCACCCCAAACTTTCTCTGTCAGAACTATCATGTTTTTTTGTAACTATATTAGCATCTGTATCTTGCTGGATTACAAACTTGCTGAAGGTAACAGTTGTTTTAGAATTTGGTGCCTTGTCCTTACAATAGTGTTTTATAACCACATACTTCCGAATATTTGTTGCTGTAATAAATGAACAAAGTAAGTCGTCCCTATTGAGGATTTGTTAATTTCCAAGGGGAAGCAAAACAACCAAGGGAAGGAAACATTCTAAAATTAAGTACCCACTTTTCTCTTTAGTGGGCCATTTCCCCACCAACTCGATTTTCTCAAACTCTTTCTCTTCATAGTATGGGTTCAAAGTTCTGGTAGATAAAAATATGTTAAACTCTTTAAGTCAAATAAAACGTTTCCTTTGTAATGATCTAGTCTAAAACCCTGACAATCATTTATCATTGGAAATCTGCAAATGACTCCCTAACCTTGAAGGTAGGATTACTGACGGTTTTGTACAATAATATACTTCCAGAGCCTAGAAGTATACCCAGCATATGTTAACACCTTCCCAACTTGCCTGGACATTGTCCCGCCTGGAACTCAACCTTAAGGATGTAAGCACATGAAAGTGTTTATTTGTTTAAAGCAAACTTTACAGCACCACCCACAGGTGAGGATTTCCTGCAACCTGTCAGCTGTCTTGAAGGAAAAGACCATTTCCCCAGATAGAAGCCAAAGCATTCCAGTCCCTCCGGGCCTTGCATTCTTTCTCGGTTCTCCCCGTGGAATGCTTCATAGCTTCACTTCCCGTTCTGGCTTTTCGCTGGTTATGGGCGATGCGAGTCTTTCGGATCTATCCCGCCAGGCTGGTTTTGAACCAAGAGCCTCAGATCTCGGCCTCCTGGGTATGTTGGATTACAGGCGTGAGCCACCGGCCCTCCAGCTTAAAAATGTCCTTATTAAATGTTTCCAGCCTCCCCGAGTCAAGTGGCCACCGGACTCAGGGCGGCAGGTGGCAACTAGTTTCCGTCTGGGCTCTTCCTCCGCTTCCGCTCCGTCCTTCCCCTGGGCAGACCGTCGGGACCGAGGTCTGTGCCACAGGAAGAGGCGGGACGCAGAGGGTGCGCACTTCCGGCCCGCCGTGAGGCGGTCTTGCCAGTTCTAGGGCGGAAGTGCGGGCGCGATGACGTCATGGGAGAGGGCCGGCCGGCGGAAGCGAGTTGGGTTGGGTGTTCATTTGCCTCAGGCTTCCTGAACCAACGAGGAGCTGAGATGGTTGTCTCGGAACCCAGCTGGCTGCTTGGGACCTCGTACCGGCTGGATTGCCAGTGTGGTGGTGGGGCGCGGGGCACTGGCTGCCTTTGCGGGCCGCAGGCGGGACACCGGAAGGAGTTACTGAGCCCGTGACCCTGCAGCGGAAGTACAGGCCGAACGTTTGTGAGGGAGACCTTGGCCTCCTTAACAAGTCTGTAATCAGACGTGCGGTATGTGTGTTGGAAGGGAGCTCTTCTTCCCAGCGGCCTGCAAGGTCTTTCCCCGCACGGGAAAGCGGAGTTGGCAGAGGTTAAAATAAAATCCTCCTGCGGTTCTGGCCGTTGTCACTCACTCAGTCTCAGGGAGAGATGACTGTTGGTTCCATGCCAGTGAGGGTTTAATGAGGCTCCCGCTAGAGCGATTGGCGGGAGCAGAATGGGAAGCTGGCAAGGGAAAGAATACAGTTGGAACCTAGAGCCGAGCCCTAGAACTCCAGAGGCTGGGCTGCCTCTGTCTAAACTTCTGAAAGTTTAGTCAGAGAACATCTTTTGCTACAGACAAAATAGAAGCCAGAGAACAGAAATCTGGTTATTGGGCTAGAAAGGTGAATTTGGGATTAAGACTAAATCAGCCAGAAAAACCAGGTAGCATTTGTAACCCCACCTTCATTAATCTAGATGAACCTTCTAAATCAGAGGGAAGAAGAAAATAATTGCAAAAAAAAAAAAAAAAGCTGATGGTATGTTAGTAATTTTCCCTGTTACCACTTTGTTTCTAGGCTCTTCCTCAAGGGTCTGGACCCGGGGAAAAAAACTCTGTAGCTAAGGAGGCTATCCTGGATGTTGCTTCCAAACACTATGTCACCACTGAGCCCTCAGCTGCTGGTGGCAGCTGCTCAGCAGACCTTAGGCATGGGAAAGAGAAAGGGTCTACCTCGAGCTACCTGCCTCCACCTTGCTGGAGAGGTACTGGCTGTGGTCCAGGGGTTGAAGCCAGCTGTACTGTATGATTACAACTCTGCAGGAGTATTGGTGCTTCAGAGCTATTTGGAGAAGCTGCAAGAACTGGGCTTCCCGACCTCAGGACTTCACATTCTTGACATTGGAGAGAACAGCCTAATTGTTGATCCTAAGCAAGCATATCAGCATTTGGAACAGGTGCTCCGTGGAACCATAGCCTTTGTGGATGTTTCCAGTTCTCAGCCTCACCCTTCTATCTGTTCCTTGGACCAGCTTCAGAATGTGAAGGCTCTTGTGACTGAGATCATCTCACATCTGCAGAGGCTGCAGAGAACCCCATCCTTAGGAGCCTCCCACAGCAGGCTTCATTCCTCACAGTGGAATCTCTGTACTGTATTTGGCATCCTTTTGGGCTACCCTGTCTCTTACACTTTTCATGTGAACCCTGTTGATGACAACTGTTTAGCCCTGACCCCATTACGTGTATTCACTGCCCGGATGTCATGGCTTCAAGGTCAACCCTCAATCCTGCTCTATTCCTTTAGTGTCCCAGAGTGCTTGTTCCCAGCCTTGAGGGAGATACTAAATGCCTGGGAGAAGGATCTCAGAACCCGATTTAGGACCCAGAATGACTTTGCCGATCTTAGAATCTCTTCTGAGATAATCACACTGCCAGCTGTGGCCCTGTGACTTTAATTCTCCTCCTATGTAGAAGGTATTTAGTAAACAATCACTTCTGACTTGTCAGTATCAGACAGGAATCCTAAAAAGTGCTAGTTTTAAGTGTTTTGAGAACAGAAGAATGCTAGGATGAATTGGTCTCGTACAGGAATGGGTGGTGGTGGTGATGGTAGTATTGGTAGTACGTGATGGTAGTATTGGTAGTACATGTTTGTGATTACTAGGGTGTCTTAGCAGTGTCTATTTACTTTTCATTGGATAAGAGGTAGAAAGAAAGAACTCATGGGGAAGGAAGGGTTGTGGATGACCTACTCTTGTATAGTAGCCTGTCATATGTGGATAGTGTCTTGGAATAGAGAAGGATTATGGGTGTTTCTGTCTATTTATGTATTTCCAACTGAATTGAATTAAGGAGAGTAGACCTGGATACCTGTCATCTTTGTAATACATTGTTCAGGAATAAACCAAAAGTTCCAAGACAATTTGGTAAGGTGACATTTATTTATAGTAGATTAAAAAAATAGCTGAGTGTCTCCTGTAAGGCTAGCTACTCGGGATGCTGAGAACTGAGGATTGTAGTTCAGAGTCAGCCTGGGCAGGCAAATCTATAAGATTCTTATCTCCAATTAACCACCAAAAAGCCAGAAGTGGAGCTGTGGCTCAAGAGGTAGAGCATTAGCTCTGAGCAAAAAAGCTCATAGACAAAGTGCCTAAGTCCTGAGTTCAAGTCTCAGGACTAGCACAAATTTTTTAAAAGCCAGAAATACCACTTCATTTGGAGGGAAAACCCAAGCTGTGAAGTTACCCTTCTGAGTTTCTTCCTTCAGATTTTTACCCCAAGCAGTAGTTGCAAGCTATTCAGATCATCAGATTGTTTTTGTTGGCCAGGAATACTGCTAGCACTGTAGCAATCAGCACTATCAACACTGGGAGCCATCGGTCACATTGCCTCTGGAGGGAGAAGACAGGAGAAGGCAGCTATAAGTTAGTTGGAGAAAATAGTGCAAAAGTAACCCTGTTGTAGCCCAGTTTAAAACAACAACAACAACAAACCCTTGGATTGGTGGAGGAAAAAAGCTTTTTACTTCAGTGCCTGTGCCACTTCCTCTTTGATTAAAAAAAAAATCACTTCATTAGTGATCCATGTCACATGGATTTATATATAGGGGCTAGACACTTGAATACTAATATGAATAATCAAGAGTGAAGATAACTCAGCAAAATTGTATTCTCTGCTCATGTGCCTCAGTATTTTTGCTCTTCACCCTCTGTCCTTGCCTTCATTGAAGCCTAAAAGAATACCTTTTTTTTTACTTGAGTTACTATACATTCAATATCCCTTAATAGAATTGCTGGAGCAAAGAATACTTCAGATTTAGGATTTTTTCCCACATTTTGTAACCTTTAGGCTTTACCAGTTGGGCATACCTAATAAAAACTCCCAAATCCCATATGCTTCAACATCCAAAATTTTGTTCCTTTGTTCATGAACTCATTTCTTCACTTATTTTCAGAATCAGGGTTTGGACCTAGGGCCGCTGGGATTGGCAAGGACACGCCAACACAGTGTTTTACTACTTGAACCATGCGTGTCCCTCTCCCAGTCTGAAACTTTTTAAGCATCATGTCAGTGCATAAAAAGTTTTGGATTCATCACATTTTAGGGATGTTGGCCTTGTAATAAGTTTATCCTTTCATGAAAATTGGGCTTGGGCGAATGAGCCAGTGTTTCTTTCCTGCTTGCTATCCAGTTGGCATAGTATAAACCCAAGTGGAGTAGGCCAGGATTACCAGATGTTCTTGTGGGCTGATAACTTTTAAGATTTGGCTAAAAGAAGGTCCTATTTCACCATTGTCTAGGGCCGTGCAGGATGGACCTTCTTACTCTGGGAGGCTGCTGCTGGCTGTGGTTCAGCTCTTCTCGACAGTGCTGCAGCTTACGCAGGCAGGAGATGTACTCATCACTGAGGTTGTCTAACTCTGAATGCAGTTCTCTGCACTAGGGAGAATATCAACAAGGTCATTACCATCAGTTCAGTTTCCGAAAGACCCAGGAAGGAGAGACTGCCCTGAGTAAGGTACTCCTTTCACTTCTGAATGAACCAATACTTCTCAGCTTATCAGGGATTTCAGGCTGTCTTTCTGCTATCTCACCTATTTTTGGTATGGAATGTGTTCAGTTGACTGATTATATTACATATATTACATTTTATACCTGTATATAGATTCTTTCTGTGCAAGTGTTTTGTGGGTTTACCCTCCACCCCCCTCCCCTCAAAAAATGAAGTTTCTTATAGCATGGAAGACCTAGAAGTGATTTTAGTACAAATTTCTTTCCTTAGACCTAGTTGCTTATTAGTACTTCCAGGAATATGTATGCGATGTTTGTGAGTATGTACATAGGAAAGTTTTTGCTATTTAAAAGACTATTTTGCTATTTAAAAGACTATATAAAGCTTAGGACATTATATAAAGCTTACCCAAATTGGGACAGAGTTTGAGAAGTTAATGTGTTTATCAGCTGTGCTTGAGTTTAAGTTGACTTTCTAAGGAAACTACTTAATAAGACCTTGAATAGGGGTTGATGTAAATATGGAAGTGAGAAAAATTGACAAGTTAATCCAAAGCCAAAGACATTTTTTAGGGAAAATAAATGTACCTTTGGTCATTGAATCACAATTTAAACTTTGAAGTCCCTGCCCTCTGGCTGGCTCCCATCAGTTTTCCCAGACTACTCACAGTCCTAGAACAGGGTCTTACCTCCTTTTCCTGGGCCTGGAGCTGCAAATTCTTCTTTTGCAGCTGGTCTCTAAGATCACAGTCTTTCTCCTTCCCTGTGCCCTCAGGCTTCACTTCGTTGTATGAGGGCTTTGAATTCCACTCTGGTAAAGCCTGATCTAAAAAAGCAGCCAGATTCTCAGTGATAGTAAGGCCCACACCTGTATGGAAGGGCCTCATTACCGAGTGCAAATTTCCAGAAGTCAGGATAGGGAGGAATTTGGGAGGGCCTGTCCTTGGCTAAACTGAGCAGAAAAAAATTCCCTGACTTGAAAAACCCCTGTGGGACCTTCCCTGCTCACTTAAACAGATAACGGGAATTAGATCTTCTCAAGGGCAAGGCTGACATCTTATTTTTCTTCTTATATCCGGTGTTGCTGATATTGGTGAATACTTACTGATTTTCTTTGGTTGTACGCCATACAGTCTCTAGTTTGTCAAGTAAATTTGCTACATGTGTCTATAATACTCAGTTTTCCTTGTACCCTTATTTCAAATTTCTGAATGAAGATGGCATTCAAATCTTAGAATTGATTTGACATGCTTAAAGATAGTTTTAGTCTCTGCAAAAAGAACACTAGACAAGGTGTCAGAAGTTATGGATTATTGTTTGCTTTATCCTTATTGTTTTAACCCCACACATATGACCAGAAATTTTCATTTTATTATCCATCCTATGTGGGCATAGTAACTTATCCCCAGTGATGGTGAGGAGAAAACGTGTTATGGTAAGTGAGGAGCCCCTTCCAAACGGGTGTAGAATTCTTTTCAGAAAGTGTGGGCAACAGACTTAACAGAGTTAAACTAAGATGACACTTGAATACCTTACAGTTTAGGGCTGGGAAATTGATTGTGATTTTTACAGTTGAGTGTGTAAAAATTGACATGAAACCCTGAGTTCAAAATTAATTTATTGAATTGCTTAACATAAACATAGTTTTTTTTTTCAGAGAAAGTAGAAAGTACTTTTTCACAGTTTATGTATCTCAGAACGGAAGGGTAACTAGTTAAAGTGTTCTCAGGGCCAATGATCAGATCCTTCCTTAAGAGTCCTCTACATCCCTGTCATAACAAGACTCCAGAACTGGATGGGACTCCTAGATCCTAGGTAGTCAATCCCCCTGCCTCTGGGCAGGCCAAGGAAAGAGCTATTATCTTAGAATTCATGATAGTAAATTTGCTGACCTTTCTTTACTAGTTTCTCCTGTTCTTGAGGATGTAAGGATTGATTCTGAAGCAGACCTGTTGGAAAACACAGGAATTTGTCTGTGTGAACAGATTTATTTCCAAGAGTCTCGTGTTAGATCTTTGCATAGAACTGTTATTTTTAAAGATGTTCCCACCTGTTAACAATTGAGTTTTGTCTCTTATTTTTACTATGTTGAAGTCTTAACCCCTAACACCTCAGAGAATGTGATCTTCCTAGGAAATAAGAGTATGCCTTCATTAAATCAAGTCATGAGAGTGGGCTCAAATCCAGATAATGGGGGGTCCTTATAGGAAGGGGAAATTTGAATACATATACTCTGGGAAAGATGATGTAAAGAGACATAGGGAGAAGATCGTCATCTGTCAGAGGCCTGGAATACGTCCTTCCCTCAAAGCTTTCAGAGGGAACCAACCTTCCTGACACCTTGATTTGGACTTGAGATTCTCCTGCCTCAGCCTCCTGGTATCTGGGAGTAAAGGTATATACTATGATATCTAGCTATGAAAGGACCAGTACATCTTCAGTATAGATGGCTTAAAAATTATTTTTTTTCTTTGCTGGGCCTGAAGCTTGATCTCAGAGCCTGAGTACTGTCTCTGAGCTTTTTTTGCTCTAGACTAGTGCTCTACCACTTGAACCAGAGACATGCTTCTAGCTTTTTGGTGGTTAATTGGAGATAAGGATCGCATAGACTTTTCTGCTTGGGCTAACTTTTAAACCATGATCCTCAGATCTCAGCCTTTTGAGTAGCTAGAATTATAGATAGGAGTTGCCAACACCCAGCCCTAATGGCTCAAGTAGTATAGCACTAGCCTTGAACACAAAGAGGCTTAGTGCCTAGGGCCCTGAGTTCAAGCCCCACAACCACTACCATCACCACCAACAACCATATATATATATATATATATATATATATATATATATATATATATATACATAGATACATATATATCATGATATATACAGAAAATGATTGAGTTTTAGAGAATGATAGAGAAATGGAATAATGGGACTTTTTTCTTCTTTTTGCTATCCTTCAATATATATATCTATATACATATTGCGTATATAGATATATATCTATATTCCACACATATATGTATATATAGATAGATAGATAGATAGATAGATAGGTAGATAGATAGATAGATAGATAGATAGATAGATAGATAGATAGATAGATAGATATAGTTGTTGTTGGTTGTGGGGCTTGAACTCAGGGCCTGGGTACTGTCCCTGAGCCTCTTTGTGCTCAAGACTGGTGCTCTACCACTTGAGTCACAGTATCACTTCTTGTTTTTGAGTGGTTAATTGGAAAGAAGAGTCTCATGGGGACTTTTCTGCCCAGCCTGGCTTTGGTCTTCAATCCTCAGACCTCAGCCTCAGCCTCCTGAGTAGTTATGATTACAAGTGAGAGCCACTGGTGCCCATCTTGCTAATATTTTTTAAAATGTGCAGTTCAGATAGAAATGCAAGTGGTGTTATTAGCATGTAAGGTTAAAAATAGAAAGGAAACAAAACAGGCTAAGATATAACTTGTGAAAAGCTATGAAAATGACCCCACTTTAAAGAAATGAGTCTAAAAATGCACAGAAGCCAGGGTATATGCCAGAGATTAGGTCTCTATTCCCTCTTCTGAATGCCCTTTGAGGGCCTGGAACCCCATAAACATCAAAAGCCACTTGTGCCAGTTTGAGGTTCTGGAAATGAAACTTACACTGCAATTGTTGTACTTTGGTCATCAGGGCATGTTTTTCTTCCTCTGATCTCTTCAGTTGATCTGAAAAAGAAACCATGCAAACCAAACTAGAAGCCATCTTAATGAACTCCACATCTGAGGGTGGAAATCAGTCATAGGTGCTGTCTGGTCTGGGGTCTTCGATATAGTCAAGTGAAATTTGCTTGTCCCATTTCTGAAGAGGGAGATGGTAACCTAGTACCTTATCATCAGCTAGGGGTCTGCACCACCACAGGGTTTGAACTAAGGGTTGTATTTATTTTCTGGTCCTTTTTCTCAGCTGACACAGGCATTCATTCTGCCAAGTGTCTCCACTGACCTTTCCTTTTCAAATTAGGAATGTGGCCTTGACACATGACTAATATGGGAGCAGCTGTGGTTTAGCCAGAGGGATGGGCTAGAGAAGAGAGCTCATACAAGATCCTCTGGTGCAGCAAAATTAATTTTTGTCTTGGCTGATTAAAATAGCTTTGCCTTTCCCTCAAGGAAAAATGAAATCATAAGGCCAAGCAAACAAATGAAAGCTGAAGCTTTTATTTTTCTTTCTACTCAGCCTCTTTCTCTGAGCTCACTTGCTATGGTTCCTTCTGCTCCTGAGGCCTTTGAAGAGGAGGGTACCTTGCAGGTCCTGGGTATTGTAGTTGCATAAGTCTCTGTCCCCTTGTAGGCATTCGATCTTGGCCTGTAGTTCCTGGTGCTCAATCTCCAGAAGTCGCAGGGTCTGGTTCAGCTGTGCATCTCTGCTGTCAGCTCCCTGGAAGGAGGAGGGGCAGCACAGCAGCAGGTTAGTGCAACATAGAGGTAGGCAGCAGGTCCATGGAACAGGAAAGTTACAGAAAATGGTTGTATTTTAGAGAAAGAAGGTTAGGGAAATGAAAGCATGAGATTTTTCCCCCTTCTTTTTGCTACCCTCCAACATTTATAACACTACATTCAGTTTTTAATATTCATTCACAAGGGACATGTCTGGACACCTTGATAAATTTCCAGATTAAGACATCAAGTTTACCTTGCTCATGTAATTGTAACCCCTCTGTATGGTATTTTCACACACACAAAAAAAAGACATCCCAAGTATAACTTCTAGATGTTTTCACTTTCTCTTTACTTTTTTGTATCATTGTCAGTTGGGGATGGGGGAATAGGGCCATGTCCCCAAACACCTGCCTAAGAATTGCCTTACAGGATGGTGGGAAGAAGAGGACAATGGTTGAGATGTTCATGCCATGCTTAGTGGCCAGTGAGGTTCTCCTTTGAGAACTCTTCACACACCTCTCTTTATGCTATTCCTGATTCAGGAAAATTGTAAAGATCAACTTTGAGGGTAGACTCTCAAAAGTTCCAAATCATGTAAGTGAAATCTCCACAAAGCAATGCCTAATATATACTGAAGGCTTATATGTGCCAGGCATTATGTCAAGTCTTTTGCATGAATTACTCTATTTCATCCATGCACCAATCTCATGGTATAAGTACAATTGCCTTTATTTTAAAGATGAGAAAACCAAGGATTAGGAAGTTACCAAGCTAACAGATTGGAAATCTTGGAACCTAGTATTACTCATACCAAGAGTCCACTGTGATCTCTTAAAAATACTTTGGCAAGCTGTGTTAGTACCCCACTAGCAAATTAGTGACATTTCCTGTGTACAACTAGTTCTGTGCAATTCTGAAATATTAAATAATATTAAATACATTAACTACTGAGGGTGTTCATATAGTAAATTAGGGTATGACATTAGTAAGTTGATGAGAAATACAGAGGATTGGGCTGCGTTTTGCATTGAGGTAGTGTCATTTCAGTGAAAATCATTTGCGTGAGTAGGTCAGGCATCTTTACTAAACTCAAATTTATGTTTCAGAGTTAAAATAGTGAGCCTGATACAAAGTGGGTAGTTGAGTAAGGAACTGAAATCTCAGAGCTTTCTGCAGTTTTTCTCTCCCTAGCCCGCCTCCCCTGGTACCTGCAGTTTGGACTGAAGGATGTGGAATTGATTCTCCAGCTCGCTGTGCTGGATCCCTAGGGTCTTCCAGGCCTCCTTCAGGGCTTCATACTGGCCTCTCCACTCTTCACAGTTCTGCTCTGCCAGGGCGAGGGACCTCTGAGGAAGATCAGAGAGGAGGTTCCAGTGGAAGCCTCCCCCCACTGAGGAAGGGTTGCAAAAGCAGTGTACCCCATCATCTATATTAAAATGACAAATCCTAGAGGTGTTAGATGAGAAGTTGCAGGGAGTTGTGCAGCTGGTTCCTTGCTTCCCAGAGCTACCCCTGAGCTCCTCAGCCCAAGGACTGCTTCATCCCCACCTGTGTGCTCTCCAGGTGCTGCTCCACACTCATTTTCTCCTCTAGCACTTTCTGCAGTGACTCCTTGGCCTTCTGCTCATAGCTGTTTTTCTGGTCTTCCATCTCCAGTAGTACTTTTTTCATTCCCCAAGGGGAATATTTCTAAAAATGTGATGCAATTCAACAAATATGCATTGAACGACCGTGTACCAAAAGAGCTGTGATATAGACATGAAAAGAATTTGGTCCTTGCCCTCACTGCAGATACCATTATCTGATAGGCGTCTCCTTTCCCGGAGAATCCCCTAGGCCATGAGAGGTGAGTGTCGTAGATTTTGACACTGCACCCTGGGTCTTGCACTCTAGGCTTTCCAAAGGTTTTTGAAATCCATTGTGTTTGCACAACTCATCTTTCTAAATCCACTCCTGTGATTTCTTTTTAACGTCAAGCATCTTAACCTACCCAGTCTTTTAAGCCCTAAGCCCTGGGAGTCATCATTAATAGTTATCTTCCTAACTCAGAAATCAGTTGGTTTTGAGCTTTGTCAAGTTCCTAAACAGTTGATACCTGTCACCTTTTCACCCCTTCAGATAATTCCTTAATTCAGATTCCAGGAACACTAATATATAGGTTAATAGAATAGTCTCCTTACCTGTAATTGTGTGAATCTGATCAGGCTACTTCCTATTTGCTCAGGATCAGGTACAAATTCCTTGATTTGGCAGCTTACAACCCAGGCTATTCTTTTGTCCTACTTTCACTCAAGCTGAACTGCTTGTTGGTAGATTTCTCCAAGCGCCATGCTTTTAGGCCTCTGCCATTGCTCATGTAGATTTTTGGCCTAGAGCTATTCATTCACTTTGCTCATCAGTTCTGAAAAATCTTAACTGCCTCCATCCCTCTAACTCCTTATGGATGAGGTGGTTCTTCTAAGTGATCACATAGTACACCTGCAGGCCTCTGTTGTTCTGCTCTACTGAGAACAACAGAGCATTTCTCCCTTACTGATCTGGAGGCTTTAGAGCAGGGAACATGCTGTTTCTTCTGCTTACAAAAATAATCTTTATAGCCTCAGGGAACTGAGAACATTTTAGTAAACTCAATGTTTTAAAACAAATGCATTTTAATATTCTTCCTAGCCTCAGTAACATGGAAAAAGACACAAAAACAGATTTGAAAATTTACCAGGAGTCTTCCTCTACTTATTCCCTTCATCTTTGTGCCCTGTAATTTTGGAGAAGGCAAGCAGCTATTACTATCAATTCTAGATAGCCACAGAGTAAACAGTAATCCAGATAATGAAAATTTAGGAATCAATAGGAACAATTTCTATTTAGCTTTGAGGTCATCTGAGATTTTGTATTTATATGTGATTGGGTATTATGTATTTGGATTTTTTTTGTGTGTGCCAGTCCTGGGGCTTGAAACTCTGGGCCTGGGCGCTGTTCCTGAGCTCCTTTTGCTCAAGGCTAGCACTCTACCACTTGAGCCACAGCTCCACTTCTAGCTTTTTTGGTAGTTTTAGTAGAGATAAGATTCTCACAGACTTTTCTGCCTTGGCTGGCTTTGAACTGTGATCCTCAGATCTCAGCCTCCTGAATAGGTAGGGTTACAGGCATGAGCTATGGGCCCCGGGCTTATTTGGAGTTTTTGTTAAAAAACAAAATAACAGATCTAGGAGTGATGGTTGAGGTGATACATGGAAGATGGACTTAGCCATGCTGGTTACTGGCCAGCTTCATACCCAGGTGAAAATAGACTGGCACTCTGGATTATATTTTAGTCTCTTAAGACCTTGGTTGGCATTTGCCACCTTTAGAGCTAAGAAAGTATTAAGTGCAGATAAGCTTAACAATTTAGACCTGCCACTTTAACTTGTCTAAATACTTAAACTTGCTATGTTACCAAGACTGACTACCCAAACTGGGTAATGCATATTTTGACCATTTATACTAAAATGTGACTTTATGAAGAAGAGTTTTTAGAAGGGTAACAGGTGGGAAGAAAATCCTATGAAAATAGTTGGGTCTTTCTAGTTTTATTTCCTATAGCTGGCTTAATTTCAGATTCATGCTGAGTTCAAATTTATCTTAGCTAGATTTTACTACTACTACTACTACTACTACTACTAATTCCCCCTAATTATTTTTCTACTAAGCTCAAAATAAAAACTCCTATTTAATTTTCTTTTGTTCTAAATAATCTTCTGAACTATTGCAACACTATCTATACTTCATATTCTGCAGCGTAAGTTCTGCCATAGAGTTTATATGACTTTCAGATTTTAATGTGCAGCCAAATCACTTGTTGAAATGCAGATTCTAATTCAGTAAGTCTAAGTGGAGCCTCTAAGTGTCTATTTCTAACAGAATGTCCAGGTTAACATTTACTTTTTTTTAAACTAAGGTTTTTAAGTGATCTCCTTCTTTCCATAATTCTAATTATACTATTATTTTTCAGGGCCTCACACTTACCAGGCTAGCACTCTACCGGTAAGCTTCCTTTTAGCTTTTTAATGATTTCTAGAAAGGTCACTCATTGCTGATGGTCTGAAGACCACATGAGGAACACCAAGGTTCTGGCTTATTATACTGTTGAGATTTCTAACGTGCTCCATATTGATACTAGAATAGCTTGAACTGCATAAAGGGTGACAGTACTGAAAATAATAGGGAGATAAACAGACATTTTAAATATCCCATTTCTAGGGCTGGGAAGGTGGTAGGGTGCTTGCCTTGCATGCTTGAGGCCCTGGGTTCAACTCCCCACTACATAAACAGAAAAGGCCGGAAGTGGTGCTGTGGCTCAAGTGGTAGAGTGCTAGCCTTGAGCTGAAGAGCTGAGGGACAGTGCCCGGGCCCAGGATTCAGGCCACATGACCAACAAAAAAAATAAATAAAAATTTAAATATCCCATTTCTAATCTGAACACATGTATCTTGATTTTTAATACCACAGGGCTAATTTATAGAAAGTAGATTATATAAAAAACATGTTCCTCTCATTGGACTCTATGCTTTTTTTTTAAAAAAAAACATTGCATTCTTATCTCAGGCTTTTCAAAGATATCTAGCCTCTATTTCTGTTTTTCCTGTTATGGTGTTTATAAATATTATACAATTTAGCCGGTGCTGGTGGCTCATGCCTGTAATCCTAGCTACTCAGGAGGCTGAGATCTGAGGATCCTGTTCAAAGCCATCCTGGGCAGGAAAGGCTGTGAAACTCTTATTTCCAATAAACGACTCAGAAAATTGGAAGTGGCACTGTGGCTCAAGTGGTAGAGTGCTAGCCTTGAGCTGAAGAGCTGAGGGACAGTGCCCAGGCCCAGAGTTCAAGCCCCATGACTGACCATAAATAAATAAATAATATATATTATACAAAATGTATTAAACATTAAAAAAAGCCTAGTTGGCATGTTTAAGTTCATAAGAAACTAACAAAGCAGGTCACATTATATTCTCTTGCCAAACAATCTTAATGATGAGGCCAACACTACCTTATCTCTTTCATTCCAAATAAGTGAAGTACCCCAAATGTCTTATTTGCATCTCCTCACCTGTCAGGTTCTATCACTTCTCAAGTGTGGAATCGGATTTCTTTCTTTTTTTTTGGTAAGCTAAGATTAGGTCAAATGAAGAGATGACTGAAGCTATATAAGGTCCCAGAAAAAAAACAAGAATAATATGGTAACTTTTCTTCTAGAAGTTGCTGTTACCCAAGGAATGAAAATCATTTCTTCAAGACTTTCTTATAACATCCAACTCATTGGTTCAAATACTGGAACCTATGGAGTTAGTTGGATGCTACACATATTCATAGTTGTAGGAATTTTCTAGGTTATCTAGTAGCCCACAACATTTTTAGTACTGGGATTCTTTTCCAGGGTGCAAAGGAAAGGATACTAGGAGCAAGAGGGGAGGATGGAGATACTAATACAATAGAGACCAAAGTAAGAAATTTCCAAACAGAATAGGTGTAATTCCCACTGGTAGCATTTTTTCTAGAAAGTAAGATTAAGGCTCAAGTATACTCTTTACTTTTAGATTCTTGAGCTGGAAATGTCCTCTAGAATGCTTACCTGGGTACAAGTGTAGAGCTGGTTTTCTAAGGACCTTAGTTTGCCTTTCAATTTGTCTTCATTAAGCTGGCCCTAGAGCAAATAGGATGAGATAATAAGCCTGTGACGTAATATAATCTTCAAAGAGATGCACTCCGTATTCCCAGCTCATGCCTTCCTCATGGCTCAAAAACTGCTCAAGTTACTAATTTATTTCAGGAGGTGGAGGGAGCAGAAGTGACAAAGAATGTTTGAGTGGAACTCTGGATTATAACAAGGATGATTCAGACTGGCCTCCCAAGTCCTCCTTTGCCTTGAGGCTCTCTAGCAAATGGCTCAGGAATCATAAAAGAGAGCCACTGGAAGAACACCTCCAGGATGTCCTCCTTTCTTCTTCCCCTGTGGGCACTTCTGCACCCCTCATCTGTATAGAACCCCCCTCTATTATATAGAACAAATAGGCCAGTGAAGTCAGATGCCAATGACTCACTCTGTAATCCTAGCTACTCAGGAGGATGAGATCTGAGGATAATGGTTCCAAGATAATAGTCCCAGTAGACAAATCCAAGACTCTTGAGTACAATTTAACCACTAAAAAGCCAGAAGTAGAAGTGTGGCTCAAGTAGAGCTGGTATAACACCAGTTTTGAGGGGGAAAAAGCCAAGCTAGGGTGTGAGGTCCTGAGGGTAAGCCCAAATACTGGCGCCAAAAACAAAACTAAACTAAACTAAAAATAGACCAGTAAGGTCAGTAAAGCGAAAGGGGGAGGGGGAAAATCCCCCTTTTTTGGAAGAATAGGATTCTCTCTTGCTTCTTCCCAGTGGTGAAATAGAGCCCCTCCCCCTTGATCCATTTATATGTGGGAAGTTGCAACCCTCAGTACCTCAGAATATGTCCATATTTGGTATTGGGTCTTTAAAAAGTAATTAAGTTATTATGAGGCCATTAGGCTAGGCACTAATTCAGCATGGATAGTGTCTTTGTAAAGAGAAGAGATCAGGATGTAATAAGAAAGGACCATGTGGAGACAGAGAAAAGATGGGCATTTTTAACCAAGAGGAGAGACCATAGGAGAAACCAATCTTTTTCTATTCTTTTCTTTTTTGTGGGGCTTAAATTTAGGACCTGAGCTCAAGACTAGCATTCTACCACTTGAGCTTTTTGATGGTTCATTGGAGATAAGATTCTCTTGGATTTATCTGCCTGGGCTGGCTTTAAACACTGATCTTCAGATCTTAGCCTCCTGAGTAACTAGGGTTACAGATATGAGCCACCAATGCCCTGGAGTTGAATGGCTTTTTAAACTTTAGTGTGTGTTGCTGAGTATAGGACTTGGAGCCTTGTGCATCTAGGCATCTAACAGCATTTTAAACCTACTAAGATTTCTTGATCTCAAGGCCGAGTAGAGAAAAGCCTGCAGGATGAGACTTTTCTGTTTTTAAAATTTTCAGCATTTCAGCCAACAACTTACTTCCTGCTTTCCCCCCTACCTATAGACTTCTCCCTCTTTGCCAGGTAGGAATGTTATTCTCAGGTATATCTTCTGGGTGGGTGGGTGGGGGGGTTGGGGATAGGGTTTGACCTCAATTGACTGCAATGATAGTAAGTTTCCCAGAGAAATAACCACGGGCCTCTTCAGCAGTAACTGGTTTTCATATTCTTTCTCTGACTTTCTCCTTTGGGATGCTTGTGGTTTCTAGAAATTCCATTTATCTTCCCACGTGGGATATTGTGGATCCTCGGGGTCAGAGGCCTGGATGTTTTCAACCCTCATGGCAGTTGAGGTCTGTAACAGTCTAGGGGCAGAGGAAGGGGCCTCTGTTTTTAGGTCTACCTCTTTAGATAAGTGTCCCTGTGCTTTGGGGAGGCAGGAAGTGGTATCGCACAGCACAGCTCCTGTTTTGATCTAGTTTGACTAATTCTTCTAACCATGGGGGTTGTTGTGTGTGGGGGTGGCCTCCCCCTTTCAGCTTCCTGTGTTACTCAGCTTGGCCTTGCAAAAGCAAAAATCTTTGCCAAAAACAATTTTTTAAAGTGCCTCCTGCTATTAATGCTTTCCCCAATGTCTCATGGGAGAGAAAGGGAGCTGGAGAGCCAGGGATTTGGCATCTGTAATAACAACAGAGATTGGGGACTGATGAAAATGTGGACAAAGACGTCTCCTGTTTGAGCCTTGGGGTAAGTAGTAAATTCACTGCATTCCTCAAGTGGCCTGCTCATCCTCAAGTCCTGAAATCAGCTGGTGCCACACCCACCTGCCCTGGTCCAGATCTTACAATTCCATGCATTTTCCTTTGCCTGGACTCTTCTGAAGAATATGATCAAACCCACCATGTTTAAGGATGATCTTGTTGGAGCTTGGAAAGAAAACAGGACTCAAAGCAATATTGAAAGATTTCTGCAGCTTCCTATCATTTTTTTTTTTGAATAGCTTCCTCCCTTCCCTGTTCTGTAGTATGGCTTTGGTTCAATATTTTGCCTTGTCTAGCTGTTTTTGTATTTTAGCTCAGCCCTAGATTACTTTTCTGTTCATGTTGCAATACAAGACAATTCACTTTAGTCCCTTTGGTGGAGAAAAAGGGCCACCCAAGTTTTGGGGCTTGAACAAAATCTTGTACACAGCTCTGCCTTCCCAAACTCCCCAGGGCAGGTGTAAAATTTGTAGCCAAGTTGTTGCAAATGGGGCATATATTTTCCTGATCTGAGTCCCAGTTGTCTCTAAATTGGAGCCCAGTGTTACAGTAAGTGGGAGGAGGCATCTCTTACAGGCTGCTTCGAACCTTCTAGGCATCACGCCCCAGCCACCCAGGGCTGAGAGGACACCGTTAATCCCTCAGTGGGAAAGGGAGTAAAATGGAAGCCATACACACCTGGTGCTGGTCTGAGGGCTTCAGCTCCTGCTTCTGCTTAGTTTCTCCATCCTGCCTCTCTGTTCTCCGAAATACCACCAACTCACCGCACAAGCCCCAACCCACAGCTTCTCTCTGCCTTAGCGGAGCTCGTGGAGGGTTTGTGGCCAATCCCCTGCCATTCTGTCATCTCAAGATCTTGATTCAACTCTTTGGATCTTAAAACCCAAGCGTGTCTTGTTCCTGTTTTTGTATTGCCCAATGTTGGCTGAACTTTTTATCAACTGGCTGAATACTTTCTACTCTGAAGGCTGTAACCAGTTCAGGGTTCTCAACAGCACCCAGGGCCCAAGGGTATCCAAAAGGTCCAGAGTCCATTTAGAAATGGAGGTGACAGAGGGTTGATCCTTGGGGTTCTAATAGCTCATTTGAAGCATTTCTGCATGTGCAGTTGGAGGTTCAAATCCAAGAGGCCAAGTGGAAAAAGTGTGAGCCAGGCTGGATGTCCAAGTCCTTGTTCTAGCCACACTCATCCAATTATTATTTTTAGAGAGCACAGACAAAGGTTGTCCCTTCACTTGAAGTTGAAGCTTCCCTGGAGTGATAGGGTTGTGTTGTCACTTCTGAAAAGTAGGAGGTCTTAATGGAAGAGCCTGAGACTATTTTGTTTAAAAAACAGGAAGGGGTGGAAAGGAAGAAGAAGGGTGAGGATTGGGAGGGATAGGAAGAAGGGAGGGATTAAAAAACACAACCAGAGGTCCGTCTGCTCTTTGGCTGGAGAATGGGTAAAAAACTCTCCTTGGAGTTTATGCCAGAAATGGATCTTAAAATGTCTTCCCCATCTCCACCAAGCTTGTGATAATTCAACTTCTGGGTGCAGCTTACCTGGGCTATTATGAGTCTCTACTGCTCCCACCCCCATTCAGAGCCAGGCACCTCATTGTTAGAGAACCTGTTAAACACTATTCCTTCTACTTAGGAGGCTGAGAACCGAGGATTGTGGTTCAAAGCTAGGACTTCCCAGGCAGGAACATCACAGAGACTCTTTATCTCCAATTAATCACCAAAAGGCCAGACTTGGAGCTGTGGGTCAAGTGGTAGAGAGCTAGTTTTGTACAAAAAAGCTCAGGGAAGCTGGGTGCCTGTGGTTTTTACCAGTAATCCTAGCTACTCAGGAGACTGAGTTTTTTTTTCTTTTTGCTGGTCATGAGGCCTGAACTCTGGGTCTGGGTACTGTCCTTCAGCTCTTCAGCTCAAGGCTAGCGATCTACCACTGGAGCCATAGCACCACTTCTGGCTTTTTCTGCTTATGTAGTGCTGAGGAATTGAACCCAGGGCCTCATGCATGCAAGGCAAGCACTCTACCGCTGAGCCACCTTCCCAGCCCCAGGAGACTGAGATTTGAGGATCACTGTTTGAAGCCAACCTGGGCAGGAAAGTCCTCTGGAGACTCTTATCTCCAATAAACTACTCAAAAAAGCTGGAGTGGTGCTATGGTTCAAAGTGGTAGAGCACTAGCTTTGAGCACAAAGAGGCTCAGGGACAGTACCCAGGTCTTGTGTTCAAATCCCACAACTTGGGAAGGGGAAACAAAGGAGGAGGCTACAATGCTTGATAAGAAATGTACTCATTATCTTGCCCATGTAATTGTAACCCCTTGTATAGTATTTTCACAATAAAAAAAAATACAAAAAAACCCAACAAATCCCACAACTGGGAAAAAAAAAAAAAGCTCAGGGACAGCATCTATGCTCTGGGGTTCAAGCCCAGGACGAGCACCAAAACAAACAAATTTAAAACAACAAACCCCACTACTGATCATTACCTTTCAGTTTAGTTTCACAGATTAGGGTTATGCACCTTGTAAGCTGCTAAGTGTAGGACTTTCAATTTGAATCAGGTGCAGTTCTATCGTGGGCTGGCTTCTTGCCGAGAGCAGTGTTTCTCAAACCAGAGGCAGCATGTATTCTCATGAGTCCAAGAAGTCTGCAGTCACATACATACATACACACATGAGTGTGTACACATGCAAAACTGTGTCTTCCCTTTAAAAAGGGGTTTCATACATTATTTTAAATTTGATATGGTGTATATTACAAAAGATAAAAAATATAAAAATAATTTGAAACACACTTTTCAATAGAAAAAAATTCCAGTCCCATAATCCTAAAGATAAACAATATTTCAGTCACATTCTGCTATACTCAATGCTTTTTCCTATTTAGGCTTGCAGGCAAACTTCCTTTTTTTTTTTTTTGCCAGTCGTGGGGCTTGAACTCTGGGACTGGGCGCTGTCCCTGTCCCTGTGTTCTTCACAAGATGAGCACTCTACTTGAGCCACAGTGCCACTTCTGGTTTTCTGCTGGTTTATTGGAGATAAAGACTTTTCTGCCTGGGCTGGCTTTAAACTGTGATCGTCAGGTCTCAGCTTTCTGAGTAGCTAGGATTACAGGTATGAGCCATGGGTACCCAGCTTAAGTTGGTTCCTTTTAACATCCTTTCTCCTTTTACGCATCATCACTCTACTTCTGTACTGTTTGAAAAGCTGCTCATCTTTTAGGACTTAGCAGCTATGATCTCTTGCTAGTGGAATTTTCTCTATCCTACCTTAGGCAGAAATATTCTCCCTTCCCTGTATCACATTATATACCCCGCTGTCATAATTTTTTTTTTTGTCAGTGTGGGACTTGAACTCAGGGTCGGGGTGCTGTCCCTGAGCTCTTTTGCTCAAGGCTAGTGTTTTACCACTTTGAGCCACAGTGCCATTACTGGTTTCCTGGTTTTTAATTGGAGATAAGAGTCTCATGAACTGTCCAGCCTGGTCTGGCTTTGAACTTTGATCCTTATATCTCAGCTTTCTGAGTAGCTAGGGGTAAGTCACCAGGGCCTGGCTACCACTGTCATAAATTGTATCATCCTCTCTTCTTCTTTAAGAGCAAAGACTCTACTTTTGAAACACAGGGTCCAGCAGCAAGTTGGAACTTATCAAATGTCTCTTGGACAAATGAGTGAGATGATCTTAATTTAGTTCAGCACCGGAAACCACCTGGTATGTGCTGCTGTCAGCTCCAGGCTCCCACTCTGCCAATGTGAATGACTTCCTCTCACGCCAGGTTCAGTGACTGATGTGAGGGGGACATGCCGAGTTAGAGACGTCTCCTAAATATCACTGCACACTTCTTGGCTCTGTTTCCTACCGTCTTCTTTTTCTCTGTCTAAGCACAAGCCCTCTTCCTGGTGGGACATGTTGTTTATGGGGGCTGCCAGGTTTCACGCCGTGTCTTACTATATTGTATCAGTAGTAGCATCATCCTGCTTGTAACTCTGAACATACCAGTTTCACTATGGGGGTCTGATGATTCCTTGAGAATCCTTGAGGCCCATTTACGTGATCTGCAAGGTCTAAATGTCTTTGTGACCAAAATTTCTTCACAGACATCAAAAGAATGTATTGCAAGAAATTGAACCTACATGCAAATCGGAGAATTTAGCAGTCTTTTGTTCATCTAGATATTAATTGAAAAAAAAGTAAAACAGTGCTACTCACTTGATGCATTTTCAAAATGAAGTTGTTTTTCATTAAAATATAATTTAGCTCCAGGCATTGTGGCACAAACCTGTGATCCAAGCTACTTGGCAGAGGTAGGCTCTTGAGATCAAGGCTAGTCTAGGCAAAGGTAGTGAGACTCTATCTCAAAAGCAAAATAAAAATACAAGAGATATCTGGGCACCAGTGGCTCATGCCTGTAATCCTAGTTACTCAGAAGGCTGAGATCAGAGGATCATGGTTCATGGTTCAAAGCCAGCTAGGATAGGAAGTCTGTGAGACTCATATCCATTAACTACCAGAAAACCAGAAGTGGCACTATGATTCCAGGTGGTAGAGTGTTAGCTTTGAATAAAAAAGCTTAGGGGCAGGGGCTGGGAAGGTGGCTTAGCGGTAGAGTGCTTGCCTAACATGAATGAGGCCCTGGATTAGATTCCTCAGTACCACATAAACAGAAAAGGCCGGAAGTGGCACTGTGGCTCAAGTGGTAGCACACTAGCCTTAAGCTGAAGAGCTCAGGGACAGTGCCCAGGCCTAGAATTCAAGCCCCATGACCACTACCACCACCAACAACAAAAAAGCTTAGGGGCAGTGCCCTGGCCCTGAGTTCAAGCCCCATGATTGACAAAAAAAAAAAAAGAAAGAGAAAAGAGATGGGGTATAGCTCAAGTGGAAGAAGTTTGCTAAGCCCTAGGTTCAATCCCCAGTACTGGGGAAAAAAAGTATTTTATATTAGTATATCATAATTTATGACTACTACTAGTAGTAGTAATTCGTTTTTGTGATGGTCCTGGGGCTTGAACTCAGGGCCTGGGCACTGTCTCTGAGCTTTTTCGTTCAATACTAGTGCTTGAGCCACAGTTCCACTTCTGGTGTTTTTAGTTCTTAACTGGTGATAAGAATCTCATGGATTTTACTGCTCAAGCTGTCTTCAATCTGTGACTTTCAGATCTAGCCTCTTGAGTAGCTAGGATTATAGGCATGAGCCGCCAGTGCCCTGCCTTATTCTTGTTATTTCAAAATTAATAAATATGTCTACATTTCTGTAATTATTAAGAGGAAAGTTCTAATATGATAAATATAAAAAGCTTGTTGGAATTTCAATAATCAAGAAAATAGTACAAAAGGTCCTAGACAGGATTAAAAATAAAGATGTAGAACCACTCTATTGGATAATATCTCACCTCTAGCTGTTGCCTGCTTTTTATTTCCTGCCTACGTTATTATTTCTGCTTCTACATTTGCCTGGCAAATGCTTCCATAACTATAGACATTCCTTTGGCTATCATCTTATGACTCATTCATTCCATATTTTGGTGTATTATGTTCTGAAAACATATATTTCTCTTATCTTTGTATTGCTTAGGCGTCTGTCTCCTTTACAAAACTGTGAACTTTCTAAATGCAGGAGTCCTGCCTAAACAATCTCATTATTTCCAGTCCAACCCAAATGCTTTGTAGGAAGAACATGATTTATGAATATGTGTAGAAAGAATATATTAAAATCAGAGTCCTGATCTTTCAGAGTTCCAGTTCTTTCACTAACTAGCTATGAAACTTTGGGCAAGTTACTTGGCCTCTTTGAGACTCGATTTCTCCATGGGAAAAATGAGGTGAGACTAGATGATATCTCAGGTCCTTTCCCACTCAGCCTCATGTCTGGGCTGAGAAGTGGGGACCAAATGGATGAATATTGGCATGAATCCCATGGACACTGACCAGGAGCTCCCTTTTCAGAAATTAAAAAATGGGCCTTATGCCACTTTTGGTTCTGGGTCTTCCTTTGTGGGTAGCAGTACCCTTACTGTGACCCATCTGACCTTTAGGTCTACACATCATCCTCATATCTCTTGCTTCATCCTAACACACTTTTTTTTTTGGCCAGTCCTGAGACTTGAACTCATGGCCTGGGCACTGCCCCTGAGCTTTTTTGCTCAAGGCTAGCATTCTACCACATGAGCCACAGCTCCACTTCTGGCTTTCTCAGTACTTTAGTGGAGATAAGAATCTCATGGACTTTACTGCCTGGGCTAGCTTTGAACTATGATCCTCAGAATTTAGCCTCCTGAGTAGCTAGGATTATAGGCATGAGCCACGGGCACTCAGCTTCTAGTACGCTATTCAGTTGTAAGACAATCTTTTTTCTTGCTAGACGGTATGTGAAGAAAAATGAGATGGGTACATACAGAAGTACATTAACTTTGTCCAAAGATTTTATCACTTACCTTCCAAGAGCTGTCAGAAGCCTGAATCAGGGTAGACAGCAAGTCTTGGAGAACCACCATTTTCTGTTTTAGGACTAGTTCCCTTTGTAGGGCCTCCTGAGGTACAAAATGCAGGAGGATAAGATTAATCTGAGGAGAGGGATGAGGCATGTGGAGGGATAAGACAATTGTAGGGGTTGCCAGGCCACTTACTTTGAGGTACTCTGAAAGCTGGATGATTTCCTAGAAAGAGAGAGAAAAGCAGCATTCAGAAAAACTCAGTCTCCTGAAATACTCGAACATAGAACTAGAGTCTTAGCTGGCTTGTGGGTAATAGCCCTCTTTGCCTTGAGTCTGACATGGTGCCCCTAGGCCTGCATCTTTACCCAACATCCTATGGTAATCCAGGAAGATGTCCCTCCATCCCAGCCTGAGTATATTAGGGAATAACAGAATGTCAGGGCTTGGATGCCATCTGACCCAGCTTTTTCCAAGTAAGGATTTTCTTACCTTATCCAGAACTGCAACTCCATAACTGGGAAGAGAAAAACAGAAAAAAACAAAAACATGACACTGGGCCAAAAAAAATCAAGCAAGTTAGGAAGCAATTGCTGCAGGGATCCCTTCTGGAGAGCAAATAGGATGGTGAAAAGCCTTCTCTTTGTCAGTTAAAGTGGATGTGGATATTCACTGTGTTCTCCTTCCATGTACCAGATCAAGACATTGAAGTAAAAGATTAAAAAAGATTAATGGGCTCAGTGCTGGTTGCTCACATGTGTAATCCTAGCTACTCAGGGTAGAGATCTGAGGATTGTAGTTGTAAGCCAGCCTGGGCAAAAAAAAAAATCTGTGAGATTCTCATCTCCAATAAACTATTTAGAAAAAGCAGGAAGTGACACAGTGCTTAAGTGGTGTAGTGCTAGCCTTGAGCAAAAGAAGCTAAGGAACAGCACTCAGGCCCTGAGTTCAAGTCCCAAGACCGGCATGCGTGCGCATGTGTGCATACACATGTGTGTGTACACACACACACACACACACACACACACACACACAAAGAGAAAGGGATGAGATATGTGAAGGCTAGAGGCAGAAACATGAAGAGAACTCACTTGGTTTGCTGACTGGCATCATTCTTAATTGTTGATGGTGTTTTTTCTGCCTTTGTCTGAGTGCCTGAGAGATAGAGGATAAGGTGATTCAGAAGTGGGGAGGGACAGGGACTTTCCACTGCGGATGAGCTGGGCTAGTAGGCAGAGTTCTCCACAAGCCCCAGAGGGAGGGAGCTCTGCTCTTACCCCGGTGGTGTCTGTGTGGCTTCTTGGTGGGGGAGGCTTGCTGTAGAAAGGTCCCTGTCTGTGAGGAGTGATGAGTGGCCAGGTCCCCCTGGATGCTTGTGGAAGGATGATGCTGAATTGGCAACACTTGAAGGCTGGCTCCTGTCACCTTGAAAAGCAAGTGAGAGATGCTGGGAAAAAAAATTCACTTAGAAGATTCCCGATGATTGTTTGAAGAGGAACCAGTGGTCATGTCGGTTGAACTTCCAATTCTCAATGTGATGGGATTAAGAGGCAGAGCTTTTGAGAAATAACTATGTCAGAGGGTGAAGCCCTCTGAATGAGATTCACGCCCTTGTCAGAAGACTCATGAGAGAGCCTGCTTGTCTTCCTTGCCTGCTTCCCACACTGGGTGAATACAGTGTGCATGCAAGGAAGGGTCCCACCAGACTTCAGATCTGCTGGAAACTTCTGGATTCCAGAATTGTGAGAAATAACTTTGTGTTCTTTTTCTTTTTTTCTTTTCTTTTTTTTTTTTTTTTTGCCAGTTCTGGCACTTGAACTCAGGTCCTGGGCACTGTACCTGAGCTTCTTTTGGTCAAGGCTAGCACTCTACCACTTGTGCCACAGTGCCACTTCCAGCCTTTTCTGTTTATGTGGTACTGAAGAATTGAACCCAGGGCTTCATGCATGCTAGGTGAGCACTCTATCACTAAGCCACCTTCCCAGCCCAACTTTGTGTTCTTTAAGCTACCCTGTGATATGGAAATGTGTTATAGTAATCCAAATGGTCTAAGATTATTTCCATCCCAGAAAAACAACGTAGTCCACTCAAGTCTTCAAAGTCACAGACTTCCCTTTGCTCTTGTACTTTCTGGCTCTAGATGGTGGGATGGTTCTCCTCAGGTAAAGCGGAAGCTGGGCTCAAATCTTGCTATCCTCTCTGGCAGCAGCCAGTGTGGTGATAAGGAAAGAGAACTGGTCTGAGTTGGGAATGAACGGTCTGGGTTCAGATCTTGCCTTTTTGGTCTCAGTTCCCTGTCAGTGCAGTGAGGATGGACAGCTGCTTCCTTTTCCCTTTTCCAAAGCTGCAGAATCACTGAGGTTTTGTGTGAGGAGAAAGTAAAGTAGGGAGTTATGACGAGGGCGCAGGAGTGTGTGTGTGTGTGGGGGGGTGTCGCAATTGAGTGTGCTTTTTATATTTATTTTTGAACAAATTCAAAAAGTCTATGTTGGTTACGTACCACTAAGCAGCTAACTGATTTCTGTAGAGTCAGTCATGTGGGTCACGGAACCTTAAATAATTAATAGGTAGAAGTGGAATTCTTTTTTTTTTTTAGGGTCCAGTCGTGGGGCCTGAACTCTGGGCCTACGCGCTGTCCCTCAGCTCTTCAGCTCAAGGCTAGCACTCTACCACTTGAGCCACAGCGCCACTTCCGGCTTTTTTCTTTTTGCTTATGTGGTGCTGAGGAATCGAACTCAGGGCCTCAGGCATGCAAGGCAAGCGCTCTACCACTGAGCCACCTTCCCAGCCCCAGAAGTGGAATTCTTAATTATGTGTTTTGTTGTTTTTCTCGATTCTCCCACCAACCCCACACCTAAAAATACTCAGGAACTTTTCTTACCTTAGAAAGTAGACAGTTGTTTCTCTTTTACAATTAGGATTTAGGATACTTTCTCTGAACAGTACTTTCTGTTGTGTATAACAAATCCATGGCTTTGTGGCTAGGTAAGGCACCATGCTAGGCACTTCTAAGGAATACAGTGGGCTCATTCCTCCCACTAGTACAGAACATTGAGACACAGGAGATTTGCTGGCTGAGGTCGTCTTACATATCCTGCTTTTTGCCAATGCTGTTCTTTCCTGGACCATACTAGTGTGTCCTGTGAGTTACACAGACTTAGAGGATTCATGATCTCACAGGCCCTCAGAGAGCAGAGGTGGCCTGGAGAAGCCAGGGAAGGCTTCCTGGACCAGACAGTGTAATGGAGATGGAATGGTTCAAGAAAAAGAGAAGATGAGTAGGTTGCTATAGCCTTACAGAAGAAGTGTGTGTGTGTGTATATGTGTCTATGTTGAAGGGGCCATCAAAATGACTAGGCTGTAAATACTTGATGGATGAGGGCTGAATGAATACTGTAAGATAGGTAGATGGTAGTATAGATGGCTGAAATTTGGACCAATTCTAGACATACAATGAGATTGGTTTTGTAATTATTTTTTCTCTCCTACAAGTTAAGGACAAATCAAAAAGTGCTAAACAAAGAAAACCATCACAACTTCCTCTGAATGAGCAAGTGGCTAGAATCTGTAGAATCACTATGATTCCACAGATGTTTCACAGATGCCTTTAAGGATCTGTATCTGGTTATTAACTTCTGTGGCTTGTTATTAACTTCTGGGCACTATGGCAGATTACCATAGCACAGTAATATGTGCTATAAGATGGATATGCTAATATATTAGCATATGTAATATGCTAGTATTATAACATGTTATAAGCTAATATGCATAACATTAGCACATTAATATATGCAAACATAGTAATGATATATTAATATATGGCTGTACAAGAAGGGACTTTTTTTTGTTGGTCATGGGGCTTGAACTCTGGGTTTAGGTGCTGTCCCTGAGCTCTTCAGCTCAAGGCGAGCGCTCTACCACTTGAGCTATAGCACCACTTCCAGTTTTCTGCTGGTTTATTAGAGATAAGAATCTCTCAGACTTTCCTGCCTGGGTTGGCCCTGAGTAGCTAGGATTACAGATGTGAGCCCGGCAAGAAGGGACTTTTTAAGTCACTTGGTAGTGACCCATCCACCCCCGTGGTGCTCCCTCTACCCCCACTGCGTGGTATGTCTCTGAGTATGACCCACCTGCTGTCCAGAAGCTGAGATTTTGTTGACACAGAACAATAGTTCCTTGAGGGCATTTGTCTGGCCTGTCCCTCTGCCTGGCCTCCTGGAGGGACCTTGCTCCCTGGCCTGGAGATGCCACGCCTGGCCTTTTTCCTCCACCTCCAAGTTCCTTCTCCTGAAGAACTGCTGTTGTCGGGCTCTCTGGAGCTGCTCTCGGTGCTGGGTCCTCAGCGCTTTCCCCAGCTGGCGGCAAGTGGTCACGTTGGGGCGGCAGCGCCGGCTCTCTCGGGTCTCCTGACGCCGCTCACACTTGGCTTCATAGCTCTCAGCCCACCGGGCCAAGCCAGGGGAGGGCCTGGGGTCTGGGCTGATCATGATCACCTCCCCAGCACCTGTTGCGTTTGGCTTCCAGTTCCTCGAATAGCTGCTTGGATCTGCCAGATGCCAAGAGGGAGGAGTCGTAAGTTGAGCAGAAAAATGACCATCTCCCCAGAGCAGGGGGCAGAAATAGCATGGGTTGCAAACCCAAGAACACCCATGATGTGGCGGCATCAAACTGGGAGCCAGGACTCCTGGGTTCAATCCTTAATGAAGTAACAAAATCCAATAAAAGCAAATTCCTGCTTTACTCCAGTCTCTGTCTCCACTCTATAAAGAAGCAGTCTCTCTTGCTGCCACTTGTTCCATGGCTTAACAACTAGCCCTGTCTTTAAGTCAGAGGGACATGAGAAATAATTGATAAAGCCCATCATGAAGTTGAGTGCTGGTGGCTTACACCTGTGATTCTAGCTCCTCAGGAGACTGAGATTTGAGAATCACAGTTTGAATCCAGCCCAGGAAAAAAGTCCATGAGTCTATCTAATCAGCCAAATTCTGGACTAGAGGTATGGCTCAAGTAGGAAAGCACTAGTTGTGAGCAAGAGCTTGAGGCCCTGAGTTTAGGCCCTGATAGTAGTGTGTATGTGTATACACATGCCCCCCCAATGACTCATAATGAACATATTGCCATTTGAAGGACATGTATTTGTTCCATGTCAAGACTTATAGAGAAATAATTAGATTGCCACCACATCATTCCTGATACCCCCCTCCTGTCCCAGTTGAAGAGGGAAAGTTAGCATCTTTTCTTCTCTTTTAGACCAGGTTGTTAATACAACAGTTGTGTCATACTTCTCAAGATTTGGATGGAGGGTCTTTCAGGAAAGACCCTTTCTGGAGACGACTAGGCTTGTGACCAGCATCCAGTGCTCCCTTCTTGCTCCTTTCACAGCGACCAGTTTATGGGTCTAGACTGGCATAGTTGAGGAGAAAAACCTACTCTAATCCCCTCATTCATGGTGTTCTGATATTGGTACCTTCCATGGCACATACTTCATGCTTAATACTAGACTCTGACTCTTAGCTGCTGATGGAGCCAAACCCATATTGTCTGAGTATCTCCACATGCCCATTGCTGGTCCAAACCCATCTCAGAGTATCTGGATTAATGGCTTTCAGAGAAAAGGATTCTATTCTAGTTTTTGTTGCTTTTTTAAAATATCATCTCCCTATCAGGGTTAAGTCTGGTGCCGTGTCTTCTTTCCTTAGTCCAGACACAGATTGTGTCATCTACACCAGCAAGCGCATGGTTTATATTCAGTAAGTCTCCTACAATCAAAAGAAACACAACAGACAAGAAAAGATAGTAACCAAAAACCCCCAAGGAACAAAACAAGGCTCTGTGGAGAGGCCATCCTTCAAGTCCTACTATATTGCCTTACCTGATGTCCATTAACATTCCAACCCTAAACCTCCCCCTCCCCCATTCTGTGCCTTTCTCTTTCCTACTCTTTACACCTACCTTCTCCCACCATTCTCTGGTAGTTTTGCGGAGTTGGACTTGGAGGAGCAGGATCCTGAGCATCGGAAATCCTGGGCCCTGCCTCCTCTGCACACTGGAGTGAGACCAGGGACTGATGGAAGAAGAGGTACACCCCCTCACAGCTGCTGCCTCTTCTCTCTGACCCATGACCTCACTGCCCACTCAGCTTAGTTCCTGGGTAGGTAGAGGAGGATAGCTCAGACTCATCAATCAGCAGGCATTTGTTATCTTGGCCCCTCAGGTATATTTATAGGTTAAACGGATTCCACTGGTAACGGCCTTTCTGCCCCCTTGCTTGGACCTTTGCTGCCCATCCAGGCTCAGTCTAATTCTGTGCAGGATTCTTGCGCCCTCCTCACAGCTCTCATTGTAGAGGATGTGGGTGGCAATCTCACACCCTAGACGGGCCTCGGGCGGACATTCAGATGTCTGACAGTTGAGGGTTGGAGAGGCTCACTCTGTGTTGGGTAATGCTGACCCCTGAAGAACGGTGAGATGGTCAGGGTTTGTCCTCCAAATCCCATTTCTGAATGGCTCTTGCCTTTCTGTAGACTTTTCGTCTCACTCCCACTCCCTGAAGGATGCCTAGGCTTCCCACCTGTCACTTTCTTTATTTAAAAACTTAGAAAAGGATTAGAGAGACCCATTCATATCGAGTTATAAATGATTCAGGATTATGGTGCAGGCCTGTGCCCTACCTCCTCTGGACCAGGAGTTCTAGAACCAACACTTGTGGCACTTCTAGGCCATAAACCCCTGGCTATTCTGCCATTGATGAAGAAGGAGAACCCTGGCCCTGGGGACAGACGCTGTGGATTCACATCCTGGTTCTATCACTAGGAAGTTATTGGGACAAGCTATTAAATACCTCTAAGCCTCACCATTCTCATTTATAACATGGAGCTAAAGCCTATCTTGAAAAAATACCTACCCTATGTCTAGCACGTGGCACACGTGTGCATTTTATAATAAATATAAGGTATTATTATCCTGATGGTAGTGTTGGATACCTAAGACTTGGTGTTATAAGATAAAATCTCCAAGCTAAATGGGTACTCCTAGGACCAAGAATGCTTGTTTCTTCTTTTGATTCCCCTAACTGCTCCCTTTCTTTGAAGGGGAACATTGTTTTCCAAATAGAGGCCATGTAGCTCCAGCTTGAAATCACTTTTACTGCTCCAGTTTCTCTGACCTCTGGCTTTGGGCTTCAAGGAGAAAGGATTTCTCTGTAGTCTTGACACAATCACCATTTTAATGTGGCCAAGCAGAAAGGCAGAGAAGAGGGGAGAGTGAAAAATTGGCATCTAGTGTGTCCACATCACACTGTTAAAGTGTGTGGCGTGAAATCCCTCTCTGTTTGGCTGTGGTTGACTACCAGCCTTATAGTGAAACCAATCCCCTTCCCCAATGCTGAGAGTCCTTCTACCTTCTGGCTGTGAAGAGGAAAAGGCTGTGGAGCGGAAGACAGGCCGGAGATAAGGTATCTTGGAGCTCTCCACCTACACAGCCACTAAATGTGGCTGCTCTTGGGGCCAGACATCAAGTTGTAGAAATGGTCCCTGGGAGAAAGGCAAGTCCCCAGATCCTTTGCCCCGTACACCAGTTAGGATTTGGTGTGGCACTGCTGAGTGGAACCACACCAGCCTTCTGAGTTATCTTGACCATATTTACTCACTTAGAATGAAGAAGCCCTGTGAGATGTCTGGTGGACAGGGATAGGCTGTAGAAAAAAAAAAAAAAAGGAACTGATCCTTGTGAGGTTCAGAGAGCGGTCATGAAGACACTGCCCAGGTTTCTGGCATTTTTGGGTACCCCTGGGCAAAATGCCAGGGCCCAGTTGAAGCTCAGAGGAATATGTGGTGGAAAGCTTTCCTTACTGCCACAGGGAGAGACCAAGCTACTGCTTCTCACCTGACAGTGGCTTGTCGCTCACTGTTTGTGTCAGTCTGTAGACTTGCCACTTCCTGGCAGTGCAACAGAGATTGATAGATGGCTTCCTGCAGGTGTCTGTCCTTCCTAGTTTGAGCTCTTACGATCTGCCCCTAAACTCGCAAAAGGCGGGTTTTCACGAAGGGGATTGCTACCTTGAAGAGAACCATGAACAGGCATTTAATTCATGTTCCTGCCACCAAGTAGCCTGAAACCTAAGTCATTGGCCTCACCTCAAACCTAATCTAATGGATGGAGTAGAGGAGTGATGGGAGCTGTTTCTCAGTGCCTGGCAAGCACCTCAGGAATCCCACATTGGATGTTTCCTTGGTTACCCAAACCTCAACACTCTTGATCTTCGACATCTAGTCCTACGCTTCCTCCTGTACCCCAGGAAAACTTGAATAGCACAGCTCCTTCTGACCCACACCAAAGTCAAAGGTGCCAAACCCGGACACAAGACATCCTCTGTCAGTTACCTCCAGGTCGCAGGCTCTATTCTTGGCAGCTCAGAAAAGCATTCCGATCCCTGGGAAGGTCTTGGCTCTCATCTGAGGTGGAGCACAGATGTGGCTGGGTGAAGCACTCAGTCCAGGGCTCTGGGCCCCTTCTTGGTACTGTCTTTCTTTTTGCAAAGCAGCCTTGCTGAAACAGGAAGCAGACAAAAGCCACAGTGCTCACAAACCCCAGTTCCTCTCTTTTGCTCTCTGCAGATCGGAGTGGGCCCCTGAACAATGGGGCCTCCAAGGGCTGGGCTGAGGAGCTCCTCCCATCAGAGGGCACCCCAGTCACCCTTTCTTCTACTACCAATTGGTCTGAGCCTTCTGACAGTCTCAAGGCAAGATCCACTTCTAGATTTAGACAAGGATGGGCCTTTGGGTCAGACTCAAACCTTGCAGCTTCTATGAGAAGAAAAAAAATGCATTTTTGATAGGAAGACATAAAAGACATTCTCAGTGTCTTTTTCACATGTATCAGTTAGTTTTCTGTGTAAGGATTTTCCCGATCCTTTAGTCACCTCTTCCGGATTCTGATGTTTGGAAGGATTTCTGCTCTTCTGAAGTACCCTGTGTCTTTTGTGGACTTCTAGGCCAAGGGACAGTTCTGGGTTTGGAGATAGAGGGAAGAAGAGTAGACAGAATCTTGCCAAAAGTTATTCTAGTCCATTAAATAAGGAAATTTGGGGGGGAAATGAAAGGGAATTTATTTGTCTGTATTAAAAAGAAATGCTTACAAATGTTCTAGTTGGGAGGTTCTCCCAAAATTCAAAGTAAGCGTGCAAATCGTTGTCCCATTCGTACAGCTCAGTGAGCAGCTTTGTAACTGTAATCAACCTTGTCGGGACGAATTTCTTGGCATGGTGGCTGGATAATTGATGCAGCTTCTATGAATTCTAAGGTTTGACACATTTGATGCAGGTAATGAGACTTTCAAGTAGCCGTGTCATGTTTGTGAGTGTGTGGGGAGTGATACAATCCTGTTCACTGCTGCTACTTCCTCTGTTCTCTAAGGAGGAAAACAAGGCAAGGAATAGGCAGAGAAAATAGGTAGCGTGAAGCACTAGAATCTGAGATGAAAGACATTCCCTTGGGGTAGTCCACAACTCTGAATGTAGGACTTGGCCCATGAAAGTAAGCACGAATAGAGGGTGAGTGGGTTTAATGTAGACAAATACCATGAGTTTTTTCTTTTTGGTTAGTCCTGAGGCTTGAATGCTGGGCCTGGGTGCTGTTTCTGAGCTCCTTATGCTCAAGGCTAGCACTTTACCACTTGAGCCACAGTACAACTTCTGTCTTTTTCTGTGATTTAATTGGAGATAAGAGTCTCACAGAATTTCCTGCCCCAGCTGGCTTCATCAGATTTTAGCCTCCTCAGTAGCTAGGGTTATAGGCATGAGCCACTGGTGCCAAGCAGTAACAATTTTTTAAAACTTTTTTTTTGGTAGTCCTAGGGTTTGAACTCAGGGCTGCATGCTTGCTAGACTGGTGCTTTACCTCTTAAGCCTCACCTCTAGTCCTGATTTTTGCTGGTTGGAGATAGATTCTATCAAACTCTTCTCATGTGGCTGGTCTTGAGTTACAGGCATGAGCCATTGGTACCCAACCAAATTAGAGAATTTTATTGGCATAGAAGAACGAGAGGGTTCTGGGAGTCTAGGACACTAAGGCAGAGGGGAGGACAGGAGATTGCAATAGGAATTTCTTCAGACCACTGATTTAGACTCCACCAAAGTCCAAAAGAAGTATGTACAAAGATCAATATCTCTTTTCATTTTGAGCACTCACTGAGATACCATGTGCACTTTACATGGGTTGCAGGTACACTTTACATGCACCTCAGGTCACAGCAAGGGCTGTTTATCTATAACGTCTCCCACTCCTGCCTAGAGCTGAGAACTGAACTCAGGGCCTTGTACTTGTTAGGCAAGTGCTCTTGGAGTGAGCTAAATTCCCAGTCCTGCAAGGACTGTTTTACATCAGAGCTTGAACTCTTACCCCTGAGCTCTGAGAATTAACAATTAATGAGCTTGTCATAATCTATTTGTCAGTTTATTTTGAGACAGAAAGACACATGCACAAAACCCTACGAATGGAGACTATAATCTTACTTTCAAACGTCCACAAAGCATTACAAAATGAATCATACTAACCAAAAACAAGCCTCAAAAAATGAACTTCTACCCGGCACTGGTGGCTCATGCCTATAATCCTAGCTACTCAGGAGGCTGAGATCTGAAGATCGTGGCTTAAAGCCAGCCTGGGCAGGAAAGGCTGTGAAACTCCTATGTCCAATAAACTACCAGAAAACCAGAAGTAGCATTGTGGCTCAAGTTGTAAAGCACTCGTCTTGAGCAGAAGAGCTGAGGGACAGTGCCCAGGCCCAGAGTTCAAACTCCATGACTGACAAAAAAAAAAAAAAAAAAGCCAACTTCTAAGAAAGTTTATATATTTACAAGAAGATTCTCTGGGCATAGTATAACAAAATTGAACTATAGAAGTTGGAAGCAATAAGCATTTTAATCTCGTAGAATTTTTGCCTGTTTTAATCTTAAAATATACAGGTTACCAATCTAGTACTAAGAATTTATTCACATTAAAAAAAACAAGAATTATTAGTACAGTGCCAGTAGCTCATGCCTGTAATCCTAGCTACTCAAGAGGCTGAGTTCTGAGGATCATGATCCAAAGCCAGTGTGGGCAGGAAAGTTTATGATATTCTTATTTCCAATTAACCACACACACACCCAAAAGCTGGAAATTGAGCTATGTCTCAAGTAGTAGAGCTCTAGTATTGAGCCAAAAAGATGAGGGACAGTGTCCAGGTCCTGAGTTAAAGCCCCAGGATCAACACACAAAAAAAATCCCAAAACAACAACAAAAAAAGAATTTATTGACATGGTAGCATATAACTGTAATCCCAACACTTGGGAGCTGAGGCAGGAGAGTAATGAGTTTAAATTAAGCCTGGACTATTTTTTTTTTTTTTTTTCCGGTTGTGGGGCCTGAACTCTGGGCCTGGGCGCTGTACCTCAGCTCTTCAGCTCAAGGCTAGCGCTCTACCACTTGAGCCACAGCGCCACTTCCGGCTTTTTTCTTTTTGCTTATGTGGTGCTGAGGAATCGAACCCAGGGCCTCCGGCATGCAAGGCAAGTGCTCTACCACTGAGCCACCTTCCCAACCCAAGCCTGGACTATTTTTTTATCAAGACCCTGTCTCAAAAAAAATGAATAAAAATCATGGAAAATAGTTATAATTGAAACATTAAGATAAATATCAGTGAAGTACAGCTAATGTACAGCCCAAGTTTATGGCTATAATAATTTTTATTAGATAAATAAGGAAGATTAAAAATTATTTATCCAAGTGTTTTCAAGTAAACTTCTAAAACGTGGTCAGAAAGAAACTAGAAATTTAAAAAAATAAAAGAAGAAAATCATTTAATAAATTAGAATCCTGAGTGGACTGATAAATAAATTCAGAAGCTTTTTCTTGCATATCTTTTTTTGGAGGGGAAAAGTATCAATACCAATAAAAATAATATAAGAGCAGCTATAAAAATTCAGAAATATTACATGGGAAGTAGCCATAGTAGAGTAAAAATTAAAGTCATTTGAGTCATTCATATAACTATGATCTTGAAAATGCAGATAAAGTAGATTAAGAAAACTCTAATTGCCAAATTAAACTCAAGTAGAGATATACAGTCTCACCACCAGCTGGCCTCTGTCTGAAGGTCCCTGTCCTCTACATCTCTATATGGAATATAAGGGGAGGTTTTAATCAGGCTAGTTATGTCTCCATGCTGGGTCTTGAACTCAAGGCCTCTAACTTTTTTTTTTTTTTTTTTTGATCCTTAAGACTGACATTCTCCACTTCTGGGTTTTGTTCTGATTTTTTGGTGGACTGTTAGAAATATGTCTCATGTTCTGACTTTGAACCTCAATCCTTAGATCTCAGCTTCTTGAGTAGCTAGGATTACAGGCATGAACCACTGGCTATCAGCTAAGCTTTTGCTTAGATATTTTTTTGCTTAAGGCTGGTGCTCTACCCCTTGAGCAACACCTCATTTATGGATTTGTGATATTTAGTTGGAAATGGGTCTCTTGGATTGTCTTCCAAAGCCTTAAACCATGGTCCTTAGATCTTAGCCTCTTGTAGCTAGGATTATGTGTGAGTCACCTGTGCCAGGCTTGAGCTGCTTTTGAGTGAGGCACTGGACATCAACTGGCTAGCAATCTGTGTTTTGCTTTACCTTTTCCAGGTTCACTGGAAACATTGATTCCCTTGTTGGTGGCCATATCCCAGAACTTCACCTGGATGGATGTGTGGCTCTTATGAAAATGTTAATACAAGATAAACAACATTTTGTTTATAGCCTTGTTTCTTTACAGTAACCTGCATGTGTTATAATGGAGTACTAAAAAGAATCTCAAGTATGAAAGGAAACCATTTAAACTGCTGGGAACCTGACTTTTTCTAAGAGACAACACTAAGAAATTAAAGGTCCTCTATTATGGGGGCCTTTACGCTTTGGTACTTATAACCTTGCTTCTTTTTCTATTCTATTGGGTGAGTCTCTGCTTATCTTTTGGAAAATGGTAATCCTCCTAAAGGGGTTGTTGACTTAGAATCCTGCCCACTTAACACTCCCAACAGTTCTTTAAGTCCAAGCTCTACTTTCTAGAATAATGCCACAGACCCTCTTCATTATGTGGTGGCCTTGGCACTCTGCTATAGATGGTATTACATCATTGCTGCTATTAGGAAGTAATGGAACCTTTGAGAGATGGAACCTTGTGGGAGGAAGTTAGATCACTGGGGATGTGCACTTGAAAGGCACATGTCCAATGAGACCCAGCCTCTTCACCTTTCTCTCTTTTTCACTTCCTGATTATGAAGGGAATGTTTTATTTTTTTCTGCCATTCTGTGCCTTGCCACACATTCAAAAACAAGGAGGCCAAAGGATAATGGATTGAAACCTTCAAAACTTGAGAAAAAAATCAACCCTTTTCTCTTATAAGATGATTACCTCAGGTAGTTGTTATAGTCACAGAAATCTAGAAAACTAGCACAGATACATCCTAAATTTTTTACAGAACAGCTCGTTATAGGCAGACTTAAGTCTGTTCACATTCAAGTTCATTGGACTCTGTCTTATAAGCGGCCAGCTGGTAACTGTTTAATCAAATGTCCACACAAACAA